ATATTGTCATCAGTAGTCACGTAAAGGTTTCGGAAAATAACATAAATCTTTACCCACAGTAACGGTACTACGTTATCGATGTCAATAAGCAGATAAGTCCGAGATTTTAGCTGTTTAGTGCCAAAGGTACATAGATCGAAAGCTATCTGCTAAAGTTTGCTGAGAAATCAGAAGTTTCTGTCTAGTCAGATATAAAATGCCATTATTTTTGGCTAAAATTTGTAACTATTAATCATATGTTTCCTTGGTTCACTACTTTGTTGGTAACCATAGATTTCAAATCTTCATTTAATTCTACAAATTTAATGTACTTTATGCCATTATCACTTCTTTCCACTTGTACACTGTTTGAATCTGATGGAACGCCACAAAATAAAATAAATTCATTCTGTTCTCCAGATGTCTTTGTTCCTGTATTGTTCAAATTTTTCACAAGAACTAAATGTATTGAATCAGAAATAGCCTGAAATGTTTGAGTAGCTTAGAATTTTCACTTTTTATGACATATAGTTGTAGGAAAATTCATTTGGATAACTCGATAAGAACAGCGTTTGCTTAATACAATGGAGTCATTTAAATTCAAAAGATTATTATCAAGAGCATCTAAATAAACGTGATTGGTATTGAAGGGTAAACATATGTGTAAGGATTTTCGTAGTGGTTCCAAAGATATCCAGGTTATGTACAGCTGGTGAAAACCCTGTGAAATAAAATGACACTAGCTTGTTTTTTAAATCCTGTTCTCATAGTCTTATTCAACTATCAGACGTATCAGCTGTAGAAAATTATTTTCTTTCCAGTGGTGAAAACCATTTAACGCCTGATAATAGACAATCGGAAGCATTCAGGAAGAAATCTTGAGTATGTTTTGTGTCTGTTGGCTCTAATTTCTTAGATATTTAAAAGGTTGATGTTTATACAAATATTTGAGCGTGTTCATGTGGATCTTAATTCAGAAGAGTGATCTCTGTGTTATTCAAGTGAAAGATTTATATTTATGATTGGAAATCGAACTTTACGTCTATATATAACTGACGAGAACAGATAAGCACAATTCCCTTGGTGAAACATGATGTACTTCAACATGAAAAAATCAACGTAAGCAGAATCACAATAATAGTCCTCTTACTTTGTTTTTTGTACTGGTAAATTGATAGATTGCTTTCAGTTACCACCTAGAAATAATTAGCATGACGATGATTAACTTCCGGTGACAAAACACTGTAAATTATAAGATTTTCTCATAAAGAAGTCACGAAGGATTTGAAATGCTTAAGTAGGCCTTCTTTATTTCTAAAGGTGTAAAAGTTATTTTCATTTGCATAAAAGAAATTTTCTTTGAATAAGTGTATTGTACGAATGTCAAACAAATTATAATGTATATATCATCATACTGACATATTTCACTTCTTTATTATGCAATTCTTCAATATCACGGAAATAGATAAATGGAAAATGCATCATATGAAGATTTATCCACTGGTTTCATTAACATAAATATTGATGCCTAAATCGAGACATAAATAATTTTTATAATCATTGACATTAAACTCCATTTTACAACACTGTTGATCTACCCTATTGAGGAAGTATTGATTCATTACTAATCCCATAGAAAATACCATAAATTTAAAAAGTCTAGTTGGTTTCAGTTTTCAGTAGAAAAACGAATTAACGTTTAAGTGATTTCATGTGGAACGGGAGTGTGACTTCATCATATGTTTGGAAACGGTATCATTCATAAACTGTGAGAAATGGTTTTAAAATGATAAGAACATCCTACAGTCTCACACAATTCAGTTGGAACTAATTCACCCTTTTGTCACCATTATTGTTGTTATTAGTATTGCTACTAACGTGCCCAGTATAGTTTTTACTTGTTGATTCACTTAGTCTAGGTTAATTCATAAAACATCGTAGTCATCGCGTAAACTAACCGTAAATCATTAGGGAATAATTACTGGTTCATGCGATAGCCTAGTTGTAACCTTTGAGTAGATTTCCTTTTTACATAAATGTAGTTTTCATCAGAGAGTGATGCAAGGCACAGTACCACAGAAAACCTAAAACAACTGAGCAAGTGCTGTTTCAAGCTGCTTTAAAACTACTCAGTAGGAATGCGGCATCAAGCCCATGGCTCTGGTTTCTAGCAACCAATACGCTACCATTTAACCACTGAGTCGTAACTCAATGTGGCAACAGTTCTCTTGCGAAAACCGGTGTTCTGTGACTAGCGACCTCAAGTTTAGATGCGCATTCCTCAGGAGTTCCTAACCAGGATGATAAGTTGCCTGGTGCTCCTAGATTTTTTAGGGTTCAATAATTAACTTGCTCACAAAACTATTTTCTACTCCGGCAAGAACTTAGTGTTCAAATTTCAATTATTTGTTTGATTATCTACCTAGTCAGGCCCACATACAGTCAATGCAAGCCTGCTTAGGCACTGAGATATATCATTTGATTATATGTAAGTTATTATTAGTTCAACTTTTTTAGTTTCGTGTCTTTTATGAAAATTTTCAAGTTCTGACTTAGGTAACTTCATCAGTAATAAACTATGCTTTATCATTGTCAGTAAAAGATCATATTTTATTTTTTGTATTCAAAATGTCTCAGCAATATCATATCTTTACTTTTCACATTTCAAAATATAGTGAAGTGAACGATCCAACTTACTCTATTTCATGTTTTAATTTATTCTTTCAGAAATATTTGATGTTGGATATGATCAGTGGGATACCGTTGACCTAGATTTAATGCTTATTATTATTGATTAGCATGTGCTTTGGCAACATTAAAAAAATATTAATTCATATTTGGCACTCAAAATTATATTGTGAAGATGTAGGTTGATAACGCTCAGGTATGTAGGCATGATATACAATATGGGTCAGTTCTAAGTCAATGAGATTATCAGGTTTATTCCGCAAATAATCGATTTTGCTTATTTATTACTTGCAACAAAAGTAACTCGTACCAGTCAGCATTTGGTGACTGAATGCTGTTCATGAATAGGAAGTTTTATCTGTTTATATTGACATACAAAGTTGTGTAAGGTATTTATCTGTTTGAACTAAAAACAAACAACCTATATATAAAAACAACATCATATCGTAAATCCTAGTAACGTGTTACCAGTGTGTTTTAAAAATATGCAGTCACTCTCTAACATTGTGATTTTATTTTCAGTGAATTATAGAGTGAATCGCATTTTTCATTACTAACAACGGATGCCGGTTACATCGTGTTTCATAGAGATTACGAGATGAAATCACCTCTGAGTAGTTATTCGATTGTAAGTTCTGCCAGTACTCTTACTGTCATCCTACTTGATCAGTGAATGGAGATCTTTTGGTACAAAATTGATAACTGCAAGTAAGAAAGCCAATGAATCGAAGGAAGTTTGACCTGTCAGTGCACTTAGTCACAGTCATCAACTGTGGTAATTTTGCAGTTATCTAGCTTAAAATATTTATGCACTTTAATTTCACATTTTGGAGTAGTAATGTCAAAGATTTGGTTTTAATACATCATTTCTGTTACTGGCTGAGCTAATGTGGCGTGATACTATGTTAGAATGTAACGTTTGATTGATGAGTAGTGTTAGTTAAAATGACAGTATACTTTTTAAAGTGTCTATCACATCAGCAGACTATTCAAAATGTTGCATATGACATGTATTCGGCCAATTCATTTAGTTTATAAAAACACTTGAACAGAAAAGTGAACATAAGACAGTTATTGAATACATTACATACCTTGTAAATGTTTCATAAAATGTGAAAATTGGAAATTAGCATTAAACCTGTTACGCCTTCAAGACATACACCTGGTCGCAAAGTTATAACAGAAATGTCTTAAATTTCGTATTACTGTTGAACATTGATCATGAAAATAAGTAAACTTGCATGTTAATTCTTGATTTGTATAAGAGATCATTTGACAAAAGTTGCCTAAAGCATGGAGAAGTGAGCAGTATATTTATTGAAATTCTATCAGTTCTCTCAACGTCACTTACCAAAAGTCCAATGACGGCGGAGTCTTTCAGACAGAAAATCTTAGGCAATATTAAGTTTTCTAAGAAAGAAATATCATCATGGGAGCACACGAAAGAGATACCATGATGGATTAAAAACCGTCAATAAGTTAAGCGTATACAGGACATAGAATGAATAGTATGACTTATATTTGAATAGAGACACTTATTGCATCAACAGATTTTGTTCAAACCTTTCCTGAAAAACCCAACTCAGCGTAATCATTGTTCATCTGTGCATGCGTATGATAAGTGAAAGTCACAGAAATACCCTTAGGACAGTAAAAAAATACTTGGTTTGTTGGCTAGGTGGAATATAAAATAGACAATGTGGTATGCAGAATAACTGAAAAACATTGCCTCTTATGCTAGTCTTTCATAGATCCTTAGGTTATACACCAAATTCGAGCTAAATTCCTGATATTCTTACATGTCTGAGACCGAACTTGTGTAAATTATGCTTACATACTTTGAAACAAGGTAAAAAGAAAGTCTTTATGACAATCATTTCTTCTTGTTATTATGTCTTCTTACTTTGAAAGTATTTTCTTCTAATCTGGTACAGGAGAACATATTTTAATTGTTCACAATTTATGCCTGCAGTCTTCAATAAAAACTAGCTGCTGAATGTCCTACGACTCTTAACAACGAATGACGGTAAACACAAAACTTAAATTAACTGAGACACTATAGTCTTATCAAAATGAAGCCATAATATAACCATCGTAGCATATTTTGGGAAATCGGGGAATATCACATAATTTGAAGTGTTAAGACCCTAAATTTGACTGAAATACTTTTAAAAGCATGGAATTTCGGTAAAATAAAATACAAAGTTAGTTATAGTGACACTGAAATACAGACTTTTTATCACAAGTAAACTCTGATTTTTCTCATAAAACAACCACATTTTGTATAGTTTACAAGTATAAAATGTTGTAAGGAAGCTAAAAATTTCACCTACCTTCTCTTGCATTTTCATATGATGTGCAGAGTATGATGAAGGAATACGACTTCGTTCAAATTCGCTATCGGTGCGACCACCGTATCTTAAATAATGTGTATGTTGAGCTTCTCTTAAACGACGGTCTAAATGTGGATGTGAGATGATGGGTACTCGATTTGATGGACGAATAACTTTCATTGTAGAATAAGGTCTTGTAGTGAGATTTTGACATGAAGTATAACAGTCCCTATCCAACGATTTGAAACGCCTCGTATTGTATAACTTTCCAAAGCTAGTGCTTGGTCTGGTTGAAGATGAGGGAGCAAAATATAAATCATATGGTCTACTCAATCCATATTCGTCTAAGTAACCAGATACTGAAGCTGGGCGATGTCGGCTAGCTCGAAGACCATGACCACTGAACACAGACGGTAGTACTGGTTGTTCATGAACTGAAATTAAAAATTAAGAGGACTAATTGTTTCGCATACACAAACTAGCTGGTAAAAACATGAGTTTCCGCAGATCACTAGAATCATTTGCAACCTAATTATCTTCATAACCACCACTTTATTGTTTGCCCATTTCCAATTAAAAAAAATAGTTGCTTTCTGCAAGCATGCATACTTTTGCCGTCGAACGAAGAGAATTCCAAAAAGGATTGCAACGATTAATATGACAGTAATAGAAAGGAACTGCCATGATTAACAAAAGCAATTTCCTGACTAATTCTTTTTGGTTATAAGATGTGAAGCCGACAAGATGTGAGTAAAATCAACGTACTACTTTTGCATCTATAGTCGGCTGCAGCAAGTTTCTTTTTTATTAGTCTTAAGGTTCCCTATATGAAAGAATAGCGCCAACTGGTACCCGACGTTTCCAAGAGGATAAAAAGTTGGTAATAACTTAGAGAATCTAGCATAAAACAATGTGATTAAAATAAATAGAGTTGGTATGCAGAGGTATACTATAGAATTCGTCTCACAAAAAACCTACTGTAACCTCGCCTGGTCCACTAGTTCACTAGTTAATAACATGTCCTAACCCCAGGTAAAGAAGGAAGGTTGGGCATATGTCTAGCAACCCCAGAAACCCATAAAACAAATCCAATCGCTAAACAAACTTCAAAGCACAAACAAAATATAAAAATTAAAACAAACTTATTCCTCACTGGAATCGGAGGGAGAAAATGACGCCAGTTGGTGAAAGCCTTCGGAAAGCCAATTGGCCGATGTGTCTTCTCTTCTCTCAATGAAAGAGAAAGTAAACGTGGGGACATAGAATGTCCACACGATGTTTGAACCCAGCAAGGCAGTCCAGATTGCAAACGAGATGAGAAGGTATCACATTGAAGTGCTTGGAATTTGCGAAAGCAGATGGAATGGAAGTGGATTCTCCAAACTCATAAGTACAGAGTCAATATTCTACACCGATATTGTCACCCAGACGACAACCACGAGCACACTGAGTTTTCGAGTGGCTATCATGATGTCCTCAAGAGCATTGAAGGCTGTCATGCAGTGGGGACCAATCTCTTCCAGCATCGGGATCATAACAACAAGTTCAACTCAAAAGGAAGGAAGGAAGGTCACAATCATACAAGGCTACACTACGCTATGCACCTACAAATAATGCAGATGAAGAGAAGAATGATGAATTCTACAGATCACTGCAATCAGCACTGGACAAGACTCCAGTTGGCGACAACTAAATTCTAATGGGTGGGGTGACATGAGTGCCAAACTGTGGGAGTGGACAACACAGGAAGAGAACTAACCATGGGTGGAAAAGCGTTAGGTGAAATGAACGAGAATGGAGAATTGTTTGCAGAATTCTGTGCATTCAACGATTTGGTGATTGGAGTGAGGCAGTGTGTTCAAGCACAAGGATATCCACAAAGCGAGCTACATGGATTTCACCAGATATACACACTAATAATCAGATCGACCTCATCTCAATGTGAAGAAAGTGGAGACGCAGTCTACTGAACACAAGGTCAAGAAAGGGAGCAGATGTAGGTTCACACCACTCACTGTCTAGTGCAAGGAACCTTCTGAATCAAGTTGAAAGCCTCCAAGGAAGTTGGTGATAGACTGCAGTTCAAGTTCAACACTCAGAACAGAAACTGAAGAATGAAACTTCAAACGATATCTTCACGTCAGCCATGAAGGCAAAATGGGAGATATCGAGCAACATCCCTGAAGAAACCTGTGTGGATGAGCACTGGAACTCTTTGAAAGAGACATGGAAAGAAACCTACATAGCTGTATAAGGAAGGAAGAAGAAGGAAGATAATGAATGGATCTCGACGGACACATGGAATTTGATATTGCAGAGATAGGCAGGTGGTGATGGTGAAGCAGAAGATAAACCAGTGCAAGGATGCTCAACGAAAAGAGGAACTGAACACAATGTATAAAATACTACACTGTGCAAAGAAGTGAAGATGAGTGCACATAAGTGAAGTCGAACAGTCTGCAGGTAAGAGAGACCTGACGACATTGTATCAAATAACCAGGTTACTGCCACCTGGGAGGGAAGAGATCAACGCAGATGAAACCAATAAAAGATGATGACGGATATTTAATTGCCAAAGATGAAGAACAAAGGAAACAGTGGGCCGACCACTTCAAGAAGCTCTTGAATCGACCAACACCACCACCTGCACTTCGTCCACAAATACCACCAGCAGTCCAGCCACTGAACTACCAGTGAACACTAATCCTCCAACAAAAGTCGAAGTCCTGAATGCCATAAAGCCACTGAAATGTGGGAAAGCAGCACGACCAGATGGGATCTCGCCAGAAACACTGAGAGCAGACGCAGACACAACAGAGGACACGCTCACACCACTGTTGCAGAAGGTTTGCAAGGAAGGAAGCGAAGGTACCTGCTGATTGATTGGAGGAAGGGCTATTTTGTCAAACTCCCAAAGAAGGGAGACCTAAGTCCTCGCAAGAAGTGGCGCAAAATCACGCTCCTGTCCACCCAAAGCAAGCAAATATTAAACCGCATCATCCTGGAGAGACTGAAGGATGCACTGGATTCAAAACTACCACCGGAACAGGCTGGCCGGCAGGCTGGCTGGCTGGCTGGATTCAGGAAGTACATATCATGTGCAGACCAAATGGCAACGCTACACTACGCATCATCACAGAACAGAGTACAGAATGGCAGTCAACCCTCTACCTCAACTTCATCGACTCTGAGAAGGCCTTTGACAGCGTCGACAGAGAGGTAATTTGGAAACTACTTCAACACTACGGAATACCACAAACCTTTATCAACTTCATTCAACAACTATATGAAGACGCCACATGCCAGCCAAGTAATTCACAATGGGAAGCTCAGCTCAGTGATGCTTTTGCACTGGAAGTGAAGACAGGGAGGAGTGAAACAAGGCTGCCGCCTACTATCCCTCATGATATTCATGATCGAAGTCGACTGGATCATGCAGCAAACAGTGAGAAGCGAGAAGATGGGGATAAGCTGGATGGCGGAAAAGAACCTAGAAGATTTGGATTTCGCCGATGACTTATGTCTTATGTCGTACAAAATTGAAGATGTACAGGCGAGAACTAACAAGTTGACAGAAGAGGCGAAGCAGGCCATCGAAGATGGGATTTCAAATGAATGTGAGAAGACACAGGTGATGAAGATACCCAAACAACAACAACAACAGCAAACTCCAATCACCATGAACGAGAGGAAATCAAAGGAAGTTACTCTTTCACCTACACCTATCTAGGCAACACTGTTCAACTACAGGCAGCACAGATGAGGACGTCAAAGCCAGCCAGGATCGGAAAAGCAAGACAGGCGTTGCTTAACCTGAAACCAGTGTGGAGATCTTCTGCACTCAGCTCAGCATGTGTAACAACATCCGGATTTTCAACACCAACCTGGTCAAGTCAGTCCTCCTATATGGTTCAGAGACTTGGCGTGTTACGAAGGGGATTTCCAACAAACTACAGACATTCATCAACAACTACCGCCTACGCTCACTCCATACTGAAGATGGAGATCAGATGGCCACAATAATAAGAATAAGCAACAAGTAACTTACTCTGACAACGAATCACTCAACAACCTATCACCCAACGAATATGCAGTGGAAGGAAGTGGATATGGATATGGATTGGATTGGATTGGATTGGATTGGACTGGGTATACACTGAGAAGGCCGACTGGGGACTTCACGCACCAGGGCAGACCCTCGAGTGGAACCCAGATGGAAAGCGACGAGTTGGGCGTCCGAGGCATGGGTGACATGGAGAAGATCGTGTGAGGAGGAGATGAAAGCCTGTGGGTAGTCGTGGAGCGAGGTTCAAAAGATTTCAGAGAAAAGAGTGAAATGGAGACATGCTACTGACGCCCTATATTCCACTAAGAACCCCAGGAGACAAATACTAATGTGATAATAATATAAATGTCTCTTGCTGTTGAAATTTACTACCTTAATTTCACGTTTATCTATGTTTCACTGTAAGATGAAAATGCATGCTGAGATTATCCTAGCAACGTTGAAAATAATTTCTTACGTTTCAGCTTATATGTGACAAAGAGTATATTTCGATTCCTTATTTTGATTTTTCATTTCTCACTGGAATGTTTAATTTAATTCAGTCTTCATCCACTTCACCTATGAAATCTAATTAACAACAAAAACTCAGATGAGCAGTTTTGAATGCTTTATTTTCATCCAGTTATAGCTAATAGATGAAATACAGTTATCTGATTTTTTGTGCTTGTTGTTTTAACCCAGTTCGGGAGAATAACTGAGGTTCATCAAATGTATCTTTCAAATACCGCTTCATGAGACAAACAAAACAATTAAAGGGCATTCGTTTAAGTAAGTACTGTAAGTCATTTACAACTTATCATCGATTTTCATCAGTATAGAATTTAACCACTAAATATGTACAATAAATGACAGTCAATAGTTTAGAAGGTATTAAATTGTTTTTTGATCAGAGATCGAAAACCTTGCTACCTACTTAGTTTTAAGTCTACTGATGGAATGAATTTACTGATTTAACAATTTCTGTACATCTTATGTTCAGTTAGTCCCTATGTAGTTCTCTGAAATCCAGACAGCACTAAAACCCATGTCTTATTAGTTTAGTTGTTGTCATGACATCTCATAAATCTCAGCATCACAAATAATTGGGGAAATCTAAGGAGCCGTTTATGGAACAAAAACGTTATCAGCTATTTTTGCTAGCTTCGAATCCTAACTTGGTATCAGACGTTAAGAGAAAATTGTCAGAGCATTTTGCCTCCTTTTAGATATTGAAATTGATTCCAGTTTATGAAAGAAACTGGAAAGGAAACAATTAAATTTCAAAACCACCAAACATATAACAACAATAAGCGATTTTACATTTGAACTTACTTTTTTATACGTATACTTTTTGTGCATATGACCAGCACGGGAAGCTCTATGTCTTTTTTCACTGGATGATAATGGTCCAATAACAACCTGCACTTGAGATCTGTGCTTTGTGGAATCATCTTCAGCCGAAAAATGATCTATTTTAGACAATTTACCGTGCATTTGCTGATGGTTAGGTTGGTACTGATAGTCTGATGCATTACTCCATTTCCGATGTACAGCGTTTGGTAGATTATTTTGATTATTTTCCATTTCCACTTCCCCACGTCTAACAAAATTATTCTCATCCACCAGCGTATCGGACAAATGGTCCTCGTTCTTGTCCACTGATTGTTGTTGGAAGGAATGACCTTCATGATGTTGATGTCTGATCGGTGATAAATCCACCATATTTGATTCTAATACACTTTCATTTTTGACGTCACGCGTAATACTGATAGTATTGTCATTTGTCTTCGGAGTAATATAAGAATCAGACATATTTCGACTAAGTTTGAAAGTTTGCTTTCTACTATCCAGTAGGTCTACTGAACCACGTGATTTAAATATCTCTGACTTCTGTGGCATGCATGTATCTGAATCATCAAGATGGTTATTACTGCTGTTGATGTTTAGATTATTTCTTCGTTTTTCTCCTGCTGTCGTGACCGTAGTATATATTTTTGGGTTTCTATCTAGTGAGCCAAAATCACTGAGCACGTATTCTGAATCATCACCTAATTGACTGTAGTATCGACCAGTGGTTTCATCCGTATGACCAGGATACCTAATTAGAGTAGAACAGTAGTGAAACTGTCAGAAAGTTAAACTCCAAGTAACAATTATCGTCCAGGTTTATTTCTGTAGTTGTAGATTTACTTATGAAATGCATGAAAATACACTGAAGATTCACAGTGTTTACCTAAACTTCAGTTGCATGGGCAACTGATATAAAAAAAATTAGCGTATTTAGTGAAATGTAATTCAGTGGTCACTTTCAAATTGTTTAAGAATTTTATTTCTGAAAACGTATTGAAGTGATTGGTGCAAAATATCGTAGTAGCATTCATGGGAAAACCCACCAATTCAACCTTGTGTTTACGTGACATATTTAGACAATCTTTGAGTTAAATGTCGACAACAGGCATACATCATTTGGCATTCGAACCAAATTTGTCCGATTCTGTAAAAAAGAAGTAAGCAAACTGCTCGGTTCATTGAACAAGTTTCTTTTTTGGATCACTCATTATTGTTGCAAAATATTCATAGATAAACACAAATGAAGACTACAAATAAAGGAACTTGAAATATTGCTGTCTTTAACTGTAAGCTAGGAAAATGATTTCGTGTACTAAGTTTTAGAGTACCCCTATCAATAAAGAGTTTTTAACAGTTATGTAACTCACTACTGATTTTTTTCGTGAATGCTTCTTAAGAATCTGCGGTGAATTCATCGACTAGTAGAGATAAGTTTCAACAACTGAACTCAGCTTTTTCAAATGGTATTCATTTTGATAGCGTGTTATGACGTGACTTTCACAACTATTGAGGATAATCGTGAGTGCTAGATGAAGCTGACACAACTACTGAAACTATTTTAATTACTAAAAACAGGAAGACACTTGGACCACATAAAGAAGATTGAATTTGATTACTCTGAAGAATGAAAAAATAATTTATTTATATTTTAAAAAATAAAACTTCCTATTCTTACTTTCGACGATAAGTGGATTCAGATCGATTTTTTAATTTATGCAAATGTGATTCCAAATTTTGGATTTTTCTTGATAATTCATTTTTTTCGAATAGTAAATTTTGAAGTTGACGATCCTTTTTCGCATGAGCCCGTTCTAAAATTCTTATATCTCTAGATAGTGTATTATATTCATCTTCAACACGCTGAAGTAGACTTGATAGGTTTTGTTCTCTTGTTTCTGCCTCTCGAAGCTGGATATTAAATTGTTGAAAAGATGAACAAGAAAACATTCATTATATTTACCAAACACAAATATGCATACCACTACGATAAAGTTGAATATGAATCTAAATAAAAACTGAATGTGAATGAATGATCACTGGATAAGTGGTTTGTTACCGAATTGCTTTAAGGATAAGAATCTAAGAAATGTCAAGAAAATCGACTTCAATCTCTTCCAGACATTTTTGATTCTTGGTCCTAAGACAAGTAATAATAATATCTGTAACAATATGTAGAAAAAGCTCAAAACCATTCCATTCTCAGACTTATTGAAAATTTTGTGCGCCATCTGTAAGTTGTTTTTGTTGTACTCTCTTGGAGACCAGCTTTGTAGGTCTGAAGATCAAAATAATCCATTAGGTTAAGATAATTTAGTTTATGGAATTTCATGTAATAATGAAGACGTCAGATAAACGAATCAAATTAGTTAAACAGGTCATCTTAGTCTGCCTGGGCATGAAGTCCTGACTAAATCAGAAGAGCATATTGAAGGAATCTAGAAAAATTTCGGCTACAGCTTTATGAATTAACCCACGGTGGTGGCACAGTGTGTCTCAGAAATAAATCTATTGGACCAGAAGGAGAAAGGCTGATTACTGAATATTTATTTGACGCCTTAGCACCAAAGATTTTGGACAGGAACGATACAGTATCTGATCCAGATATCTGTACAACTTTGTCATCTATATCACAAAGAATGAAAGGAAGTAAGAACTACGTAAACTATGTTTCAAAAGTTTTGATACTGTGTTGGCATGACTATGAACAGTAAACTTTTATCAGAATATTATCCAGTGAACAAAACTCTTTTGCATTATGATCAATCCAAAGTGATATGTTCTTTGCCAATTTTTCACTCTTATTGCTTACATTTATGAAACTGCTCAGGTAGAGTTATGCTTCTACGATAATTTTAGTATCCTATTATTATTTTTAGTTCGAATGTGGATCAAATATTATATTTGTCAGTAGTCATTATGACTAAATATTATGCAAAAATTTTCATGGCGACAATAAAAATGATCGATATTTCACAACGGGAAGACAACGATTCCCACTGTTCACAGTTAACATGATGCATTGATATGTTAAGTATGATTGACTAGACTGGACCCAGTATGTTTTTCTGTCAAAAGATTTTAGTCACGAAAAAGCTTTTCTGCGTAAATTGAAGAAATGTTAATGATAGAATTGATTAAAATGTAATCAAATTTTCGACAGCCCGTCATCTGTAGGAATTAAGCTTTTTACAACAAAATAATCTTTAGATCACTTAAGGCAATCAAGTTCCAGAAAATCTCAAGCAACGGAAGCCTCCATATAGCTTTAAATTATTATCTGATTACTGAACTGCACATTCGACTTTTCAAATGGCTGGGATATATTCCACAGAAAACCTAGCCCTCCTGTTTCAATTTGTTGACACGAATAAGATCAGAAATCGACAAGTAATTCTCAAGTGTTACCCTCAGTTGTAGGTTTCTATTCGCAAGTATTTATATTAGGTGAACATGAACATATCATAATTGATATGCGTTTAATAGGAGCAAGTGTTTTCAAAAGTGCGACATCTAAACACTTAGGGGACACAGAACACAAAGTAGGTGACTTGTAATCATTTAAGGTAAACAATAAACAGAATAGTTTGAATCTTCGCCTTGTTAAAGCTATAATAACCAAACATCTAAAACAAGACTTATTTATTTAAGAAGAATCTATTGTAAATCTTCGAATCCCTTGATCAAATATATTCTTGACCCTCCACTTATTTGTTTACATCAACCTGAGGCCGATGATTTCTATAACAATTTGTATTCTGATTATTATTGAATTACACAATCTCTTATTTGAAGTTCCACACTGTTAGTGTTTCTTTATTATTGTTATTATTATTATTAGTCCCTTGGGTTACTAATGGAACATAAGGATTCAGTAGCACGTCTCCATTTCACTCTTTTCTCTGAAATCTTTTGAACCTCGCTCCACGACTACCCACAGGCTTTCATCTCCTCCTCACACGATCTCCTCCATGTCACCCACGCCTCGGACGCCCAACTCGTCGCTTTCCATCTGGGTTCCACTCGAGGGTCTGCCCTAGTGCATGATGTCCTCAATCCGTCTTCTCAGTGTATACCCAATCCAATCCATATCCATATCCACTTCCTTCCACTGCATATTCGTTGGGTGATAGGTTGTTGAGTGATTCGTTGTCAGAGTAAGTTACTTGTTGCTTATTCTTATTATTGTGGCCATCTGATCTCCATCTTCAGTATGGAGTGAGCGTAGGCGGTAGTTGTTGATGAATGTCTGTAGTTTGTTGGAAATCCCCTTCGTAACACGCCAAGTCTCTGAACCATATAGGAGGACTGACTTGACCAGGTTGGTGTTGAAAATCCGGATGTTGTTACACATGCTGAGCTGAGTGCAGAAGATCTCCACACTGGTTTCAGGTTAAGCAACGCCTGTCTTGCTTTTCCGATCCTGGCTGGCTTTGACGTCCTCATCTGTGCTGCCTGTAGTTGGAACAGTGTTGCCTAGATAGGTGTAGGTGAAAGAGTCAACTTCCTTTGATTTCCTCTCGTTCATGGTGATTGGAGTTTGCTGTTGTTGTTGTTGTTTGGGTATCTTCATCACCTGTGTCTTCTCCACATTCATTTGAAATCCCATCTTCGATGGCCTGCTTCGCCTCTTCTGTCAACTTGTTAGTTCTCGCCTGTACATCTTCAATTTTGTACGACATAAGACATAAGTCATCGGCGAAATCCAAATCTTCTAGGTTCTTTTCCGCCATCCAGCTTATCCCCATCTTCTCGCTTCTCACTGTTTGCTGCATGATCCAGTCGACTTCGATCATGAATATCATGAGGGATAGTAGGCGGCAGCCTTGTTTCACTCCTCCCTGTCTTCACTTCCAGTGCAAAAGCATCACTGAGCTGAGCTTCCCATTGTGAATTACTTGGCTGGCATGTGGCGTCTTCATATAGTTGTTGAATGAAGTTGATAAAGGTTTGTGGTATTCCGTAGTGTTGAAGTAGTTTCCAAATTACCTCTCTGTCGACGCTGTCAAAGGCCTTCTCAGAGTCGATGAAGTTGAGGTAGAGGGTTGACTGCCATTCTGTACTCTGTTCTGTGATGATGCGTAGTGTAGCGTTGCCATTTGGTCTGCACATGATATGTACTTCCTGAATCCAGCCAGCCAGCCAGCCTGCCGGCCAGCCTGTTCCGGTGGTAGTTTTGAATCCAGTGCATCCTTCAGTCTCTCCAGGATGATGCGGTTTAATATTTGCTTGCTTTGGGTGGACAGGAGCGTGATTTTGCGCCACTTCTTGCGAGGACTTAGGTCTCCCTTCTTTGGGAGTTTGACAAAATAGCCCTTCCTCCAATCAATCAGCAGGTACCTTCGCTTCCTTCCTTGCAAACCTTCTGCAACAGTGGTGTGAGCGTGTGTATATTAGTGTGTATATCTGGTGAAATCCATGTAGCTCGCTTTGTGGATATCCTTGTGCTTGAACACACTGCCTCACTCCAATCACCAAATCGTTGAATGCACAGAATTCTGCAAACAATTCTCCATCCTCATTCATTTCACCTAACGCTTTTCCACCCATGGTTAGTTCTCTTCCTGTGTTGTCCACTCCACACAGTTTGGCACTCATGTCACCCCACCCATTAGAATTTAGTTGTCGCCAACTGGAGTCTTGTCCAGTGCTGATTGCAGTGATCTGTAGAATTCCTCATTCTTCTCTTCATCTGCATTATTTGTAGGTGCATAGCGTAGTGTAGCCTTGTATGATTGTGACCTTCCTTCCTTCCTTTTGAGTTGAACCTTGTTGTTATGATCCCGATGCTGGAAGAGATTGGTCCCCACTGCATGACAGCCTTCAATGCTCTTGAGGACATCATGATAGCCACTCGAAAACTCAGTGTGCTCGTGGTTGTCGTCTGGGTGACAATATCGGTGTAGAATATTGACTCTGTACTTATGAGTTTGGAGAATCCACTTCCATTCCATCTGCTTTCGCAAATTCCAAGCACTTCAATGTGATACCTTCTCATCTCGTTTGCAATCTGGACTGCCTTGCTGGGTTCAAACATCGTGTGGACATTCTATGTCCCCACGTTTACTTTCTCTTTCATTGAGAGAAGAGAAGACACATCGGCCAATTGGCTTTCCGAAGGCTTTCACCAACTGGCGTCATTTTCTCCCTCCGATTCCAGTGAGGAATAAGTTTGTTTTAATTTTTATATTTGTTTGTGCTTTGAAGTTTGTTTAGCGATTGGATTTGTTTTATGGGTTTCTGGGGTTGCTAGACATATGCCCAACCTTCCCTCTTTACCCGGGGTTAGGACATGTTATTAACTAGTGAACTATTTGACCTACCTAAATTTTAACGGGTTTTTTCAGGTACGTTGCTTTTTTATGACGTCATTTCATGACTTCTCCGCTTCATTCCAGTTTCCACAAGTTTCTTACTTTGCTATGTCGTTACCACATTTTAACTAATCCTACTGAACGAAATTATGTTAATATTGCAATACTATTTGTTTTTAATATATTCTAGGTTAAAAGCAACCGACAAGAGTCACGAAATAATGAAATGATTCCAAATTATTCTTCTCTAGTATTTGATCTTGACTTTTTAAAATTATTAAAAGGAAATCTGTGTGTTGTATGTGATTCTCTGCTTCTCTTCTTTTATTGACTGTCAATGTAAACACATGCACGGTGGGTGATTACCTTAAAATATTTATTTTCCCACAACTTTGTTCGGTGAATAAAAAACTTCAGGTAACAGTTGAAATCGAATGGAACTTCTGTATTCACTGACACTCTTTCCAAAAATATTAATGTTTAAATCATAGAAAGGAGCTCTGGTTGTTCCCTTTTGCCTACATTAAAGCAACTTGAAATGAGCGAGATTCAGATCTTCAATTCCCGGCATTATACAGCCGTTAAATGTGGATTATTTGTTCATATTGTCGGAGAATTAGAAGAATTCACACTGACAAATTAATAGACAAAGGGATCAAAAACATAGAAGGTACCTCTTCAAAGCGACTGCTAGACAAAGTCTATCTCAAAAAACATGAAGACAAAACAGCTGCGAGGACTTGTAATTACTATTTCCAAGGATATTTTACCTATAAATAGTTAGCTAGAAAGGAAGACGCTTCAGAATTACTGAAGAACCGACTCCTAAAGGCGATCACCAGCACATTCTATGTTGTTGAACTGAAAATGGTCTTCTTCAGGTTACAGTTGTTTCTAAGAAGAACTAATGGCAGTGCTGCTCCAAGTGAAATTCACCTCGGTCTATCAGTATACTTGCTCTTGTAGAGATGGGTGCAAGGATTCGACGTTCAGCCTTTCAAATGCAACTTGCTTGATTTCCTTAAGAGAAGATTAGAGCTCAATCAACAATCCTATCTTTCATTATTTGGTTAATTTTGACTACGTCACTTCTCCACAGTCTTCTTTCAAAATCATATACAAAATCAAACCGACTTGCTCAAAAGGAATGTGGGTGGATAACAGAAGCGCTTTTACACTGCAATTAAACCAGGAACTTTGCATAAGAAAAAAGTACATTCATTATTTTGTTGTCGTGACCTCTCTTTAATTATATTCATTACTATTATATATATTCATAAATTGTTATCATTGATTTTACTATGCCTTTAACTTCATTAACTCCATATGTGCTGGTTCCAACTTCCTATTAAAGTTCTCTTCATATCTCAAAGCAACCATTAATTATTTTTATTGACCTAATAACCATCACGGTGACCGACTGTATACTTTTTTCATACACTCCATTATTACGCAATCTCTTTCCAAACTTATAGACGATTCAATATTTCCTCCAAAAACATTCCTTTTCAATAATCTAGTGTTGACCTCACTTTTCAAAAATATGAATATAACTGAAAATCTGTTGAAAATGACTTTTCAGGCAGAGCATTTTCTTAGTTGAATAACTTTGTGGTAATTATGAGGGGTTTTCTAATAGAACGCAGAGAATAATTCAGACATTAACGGAAACAAAATGATTTTGAATACGTGCACGAGTGGAAACCATTCAGAAATATTTAATTTTGACTTTTGCAGCAACTGAAATCGGAGTTTAAAATCATTCACTTGAATACGCTATAATAATCATCTTTTTCTTGAACTTTTAGTTGCCTGAAAAAGTTATCGCCTAATAATATCGTTCCCAATGGCTAGTCGCTGATTTCAAGATATATATAATGAAATTAAAATACATCAGTTTCAATAAACAAGCAACTAGCCTAGTGTTTCTGCATAATAAGTAACTTTATTCAGCGGTTTAATGCCCAGGTTCAATTAGCCCTAATTCACAACATAATTTAAATTAAAGAACAAACTTTGTTTACTAAGATTAAAATGTGAGACATAACCATAAATTACACTTACAAGTTGTTGTGAAAATACGCCACCATTACGTTCATTTTAATACTGTTACCTCCTAAAGAAAGCGGGAAATCGCTTTACCTCATGTAGGCTTCCATTAAATCATCTGCATCCTGCTGTAAATATGCTTGTGGAGATGTTCGATAGAAAAAATGGTTTCAGCAAACACATCATGCGAATAGAGTTTTAGACTTTAAGACCATTTTTAAAAAGTAGAGGAGTTTGAATACTGTATAAGCCAATAACTCTTATTCGTTTTGTTCATTAAAACATAAAATGAAATGATAAAATACGGTGACCATATGATCTCCCAGACCCAATTTCTTGTCTATACTCAACATCACAGTCCTTAAACTTAAATTTTGGATGGAGCTATCCATCACAGAAATCGCTGTCACAGATCTCAACACCTTTTGGTATACTAACCCTCTTATTGATTGATCCACACAAAAATCTAAAGTTTGTACGCTTATTATAGGAACCTGCATAGGAAATTTACCGATCATTCCTGTGCCTAATGTAGATTGAAACAGACTTACACTTTGTAAGATGTATTCACGTTCTTCTATGGCTCTGAGATACTCTTGTTCACTTTGCTTTGCATTTGTTCGATAGTCCTTAACCTTCCCATGAAGACTGTGATAGGATTTTTCCAAATTTGTTGTTTTCTTTGACCAGTAATCAGCTGTTGCACGCACTTCTCTTATTTCAGCGGAAAATAGCTTCAACAAACTATGAAAGAATAAAAGGTAAAAGAAGAACAAAAGAACTGTACGCCAACCCTTAAGAACGGTAAATACTTCTGTAAATCCACTGTGTAACCTACAGGCTGCACTCAAAATTACTGGAAACAGGTTATTTTGGCAAACTTAACCCACCACTTTGCAAAACTCAACATGCATAATAAGTGGAAATACTGAAATTAAGAATTATCTTTTTCAAACCTATATTTTGCTAAGAAACTTTTCAATAACAAATAATACTTCATTAAGAAATGGACTACATGAGGATCCGTAAAAGATATTCAACTGATTATCAGAACACCCACCAAACGATACTCAAAATGTGTTCAGCGAACAACTTATACTGCTAAAATTAGCTATCAGTCTGAACATTTACACTCTGTTATTTGCTCAATGTGGTAGTCAGAAACCACTAAACAGAAAACTTGTAACAATTATTTCACTAGTGTCTAATTCTTCTTTCTAAATCAAGAATCAAATACAGGTTGTAACTATCACCCAAGAACAAAGGATTCATTTCACTGAACTCCTTATTAATTTATATAAATTATGAAAATTATAGCTAAGTTTTTTCGATCTCAATATTCTACTTTTTGCGTTACCCACAATCTATGTAAAACTACTTTGAAATGAAAATATTTATTTCAGTGGATTGATTTTTCAAAAAATTTATTACAGAGAGCAAGTAGGAAGCTTAAACTGTAACTTATTGAACAGTCAGAATCCTGTTAACAAACAATAAGAATTAATATGTTTATTCATAAGAATTAAGTTACTAGTTACTGACCATGAGAAAGTAGTTGATATACGTAAGCCAAACTGAAATGTGCTGTCTTAGTTAAGAAAATACTTGATTGACTGAAACCTCTCTTTGCAAAAATAGTTTGAGTATTCACTGACTAAATAAGTTGTGTGAATCTCAGAAGATGTCATCTGTATCGTTTATTATGTGTATGCATTTAAAAGTGAAACGATTGTCTCAAAGAGCATTTACATGATTTCATCTAAGAACAAATAGACCTTTGCTAATAAAATAATTATAGTATTGACGACACTTATTAACCGCTGAAGAATCTATTTGTATGCCTTGTTAAGTGCATAAATAAATGTTTAGTGCTTGCGTAAAAAAATTCTAATCACCAATCTTAAGGTTACACACTCCTTAGTCTGTTGACAACGCTACTGGCCTGTTTGCTAACTTTTTGATAACCTCACTTAACGGATAATACCACTGCTAAAGTAGTTTGTTAATTATCATCAGCTCATTAATCTTTTCGTCTTTTGGTGCAACCTACGGTCACAATATCAAAGACTTTGATGTTATCCCTATGTATAAATGAAACGTAGGACTGTCTGAATGGTTGCATCTGAGTACTTATAGCCCTCATACCGCTACCTATTAATTAAAGTTCTGTCATTACACAGGAAATGTTAGGACAATATTTTGTCCCTCATATTTACGTGCTTTAGGTACTAGTTATCTGAAACGTAACTGATATCCCTAAATCCTAGACATTTCTTTCTACTCGGATATGCTCAGAATATGCCAGTGGAGGTTTGGCTTGTTGATTTCCGCAGTCGACTTCCAACCAGTGTATAACTGGTTAGAATCTCGTTCAAACGGCACATAAGTTACATAATTTAAACATCCCTGAAGTATTATATGACGAGCTGTCTGTAAAAATGCTGTCAAGTTGTAATACTGACTTAATCTATTCTTTACTTATATGTTGACGAAATAATATAAATTCTGGTTATTCTGAAACCTCTTGTATACTACTTGTTCTGGATCTCGAAATAAAATGAAAGTCTTTTGGTCGAAATTCTGAATAAACTACATATAGCTAGGTCACACGAAGACTACAAATGAATGAAAGTATTTACACATTCAACCAACCAAATATTTTTTATTTCCCAAAGTGAAACATTATCATAAATCAAAATCAGAGAGAATGAGAAAGTTTAGTTCTGTAAGTATAAAGTTGACAAAAATGATACTGCTTCAAGATTGAAACTGTTTGTTCCAAATTTTAAACTACTGGAGTTCCAAAGGGTCGAAAAATCAGGCTAGTTAAAGTCTGTCATAGCAACAACTTAAGTAACCAATCAGACTTCTTTATTTTATGACAAACTGCCTTTCCAGCCAAAATAAAGAAACCGGATTGGTTGTTACGATTGTTGCTAGGGCGGTCTCTAAAGTCTCCTTAGAAAATTTTTTTACGAAAATAACACCGTGATATACTGAAGTAAAAAAAAATGTAGAGTAGACTCATTTATATAAAATATGAAAAAGGTTGTATTATTGAGTTTGGTTCAATTACTTAGTGTTACTAATCATAAGGTTTGTTCCCACTCATAAACTAAACAGTATAATAAACAGTACGTACTTCATAAGACAGAATGAAATGCAGCCATATAACCGAATTTCAGGGCGTGTTGTTAGTGACAAAAGCAGATGCACAGGGAATCCTGTAGATAAATCACTCAAATCATGCCATTTATGATCATTTTATGTCAAATAAAGGGTTTTAATAAATACAACTTTCTACAAGTTATCGAAGTATCAACTATTATTTTAAAAGATTTTTAAAATACATTCACTGGCGTTATATACCACATAATGGTACTACATAATAATTTCGAGATTAATCACCATACATAGTTTTCATGCCACCCAGACAAACTTGTTGATTAGAAGTAACACATTTCTTGCAAATATTCTACATAAACTTTCACAAATCGTAATCAATTGATTAAACAAACCAACATTTGCATAAACACAGGTGGTCATAATCAGCCTAAGCTTCAGCATGAATTTACTGCTTCAACTCAATGCTAAGCACCTCCAGAGGATAATTACATAAGCAGACGAATGAAATAGTCTGTTCCTCCTTTGTCTCTATGATAAAAGTTTTAATTTTCGATAATGAATTTATTATTTTGATCAGCTCTACCTTGTCACTTACTCAGCTCAAATATATCACTGATACATTTGTAGTTACGAAAACATAACATCTAAAACTTTCCTCAAAGGTGACGAAGAACTTGCCCTTCAGGCACCAAATTCACATGTAAATAATACAATGAAAGTGATGAGCTACACTTTTACGGTCAAAAGCGTATTCAGGAGGGTTGCAAAACTCATCATGATTGAAAAGGATGGATAAGCAAAAGTTAACAATGTGACAGAAGTTTTGGTCTGAACAGCCTAGCTAAAAACATCATATCAAAGATTAAAAAACATTGACTCAAAAATCTTGGCGTAAAATCAAATGATATGTCTTGTTACATCATATTGATCCTACGTTTTAGCCAAAGTACGGCTAAAGAACTTTCAGAACATACCTAATTACAATAACTCAGATGGCTGGAAAATCTCTGCAAAATGCTTCAGTTCAAATGTAAGACAAAATACCTGCTGCCGTCAAGCAGAAATATGTCTACTTGTTACGCTTTCTTGACTATGTTACTTATTGTTCGGATAATCGTCTTGTAAAATCCTCATTATCGTTAAGGTGCATTGAAGGTAGACAAAAATAAACTGCGAAAATGATGCCGTAGAAACGGAGAATCTACAAGTGATATCAGCAATCATGATACACGCCAGTTTTCATTCGTACAAGGTTGGTGCTGAAATTATTCAGAAGAACTTTCCAAACTACGAAGAAAGATGAAAAAGTGGTGCATCCCGAATTACGTTGGAATATCATGAACATAAAAGGAATGGAGGTCTCACTATGCAGAGAACCTGCATAGTGCATTAACCATTACCAAAAAACAAGTTAAAAGCCTTCTCCAGTGACAATAGGTTTTCCACAGTAATTTAAATACTTGTGTATGTACACACTTTCGCATCATCACCTTGAGCTGGGTGATCAATATTTGAAAGTAGTACCACTTTAACCTATCCTATTGCTGTTGATTATACATGTGAATATTGTAGCCTTGTATATTCTTTCTACAATTTAAACATACTATTAATTGTATTGGCTTTATTATCCAAAGATGTAGTGTCTGTGAAGTTGCGAAACCTCAGACCTTAACCTGAATACTTCTTTGAGATTTTACGAATTTATTTCACCTGTAAGCTGCAGACCGAACGGTCGACTTATTCTGTTCGACTATGAAGTCAGAATTTGATCCTGATGTTTACAAAGCTGTAATAGATGAACTTGATTCTTTATCATATTCAATAAAATGTATTAACCTAGTAAATGGTTATTGTCGACAGATGTTGATGCCCTTCGTTATTCATAATCTGCTTATCTCAGTAAATTACACAACAGTGAGAGCAAAACAGTTTCAACTATACGAATAAAGTCTGACTATAGTTTGTTATGATAATCAGATACTCGGAATTACTTTTGGGTCTTAAAACTTAGTTGCTGCTACACTAGCTTTCTGTTATAGCCATAAAGAACAGTCTACCAACTAAACATTAGTTTATGCAATGCAATTTGTGTAGGTTCCTTCAAATACAAAGGTGCTGAACAGAACTTTATAGACAGTAACTGGTAATTTCATTGACTGAACGGCTATTCCTCCTTTATTCAGAGATGAGATGCTATGTTGACTGAATTCGAGGTATAAGTTGGATCTAGTTCGAAATACACTGCACACTTGGGGCGGAAGATACTTCCTTGGGTTCAAACTCTTTAGTTGTTGACAGTATCAAGTGCTAAATTCGTTGCGACGGTATGCATTGATATCATGCTTATCAATATATTCCTCAGACTCCAAGCACCAAGCTGTCATCCCACTGTTTCATAGCATGGTTTCATGATCTACATGAGAGACAAGTTGAGATAGTTTGTCCGTCTTGAAAAGATCTTGCTGGAATATCACCAGGAAAACAATGATTATTTCATCTAAAGTTTAACCGGATGGTTTGATGTAAGGATTTCAAATGGGCAGTTGTTCAATAGTTTCAACTTCCGCACAAATGAAATTTTCATCACAGTTGGAAAGTGATATAATTCCTAGAATTTATGACGTGTTTCCACAGTCGTCTTTTAGAAAACTAATTAGAAAAGAATCACTCTTTAGAGTAACTTTAATCCAATAAATGAATACTTCAGTGAGTGAAAATACGATTTTGTGCCTTTAATATTCTATGATTCGCTAACGTGTGCCGTTACGTGTAACGTTTTTTAATCACCTAGGAACAGATTCGGGACATTATAGAAAATGAGAAGAACCTCAGATAAAAGTCCTGAAATAGGTTTCTTCTCATCTACAGGACTTCATTTTTAAATATTAGACTCATATGTTTGAGAAAACGTTTCATTACACACAAGGATCCATTCTTTTTTCTGACTACCAAGTGCATGATTAGTAATTTGTAACCTGATAGCTATCTAATCAACATATCAGGGCAGTACCGTCAAGTAGATTTTCAGCGCTAAAGGTGATTCAAGTCAGGTGTGTTACTTTGTGTTCACAGGAGCCGAATAACTTCTGGTATTTATAGTAACACTTTCGGCTATAGTTTAAAGTCTGCCGCCAAATAAGAGTACCAAGATGGCTGTTTTTAAAAGATGAATATCATGTGAAGGTATAGGCTATAACAAAGAAAGACCTAAGAGTTGTAACACTGATGTTTAAGCACCCTTTTTAGTTGAAACCAATTTCAATCTCTTAAATATAACCAGTGCTCCACACAGAGGATAAATACTCTTTAGTTATCATAATCCCGTAGAATATATGCAAATGAATCATAGCAATTCGGCATTTTTACCATAACTTAATTTTTTCTCAAATTTTTACAGAGCAAAACGACTGACGACTTTGGCATTATTTATCATTATAATGCTTTGTAAAACTGAAAAAATCAAACAAGGCTGTCAATGAATGCAAATGTGATTTAAGTAGAGTAGTTCTTACACATAGACGTGTACACACGTCGTTTGCTTCTCAAAACATGCTTAGTAGGATCGTTAAGATGAACGTTTGAATTTTTGATGAACTAATTTTCATACTTTTATGAACGTTGTGCATGAAGCTAGACATGAAGGTATGCACGTAAGTGAATTTCTTACTAGTAATTCAGTCTCAAAATCTTTCGGAATGTTATCTGTAATGTTTGAAAGTTATGGAAACTAGAATAAGATCAATACAAAACAGAAGATCTCAACGTCAAATATTTTTATCACTGTATTCGTATTCATTCTGGAGTTTAAAAAAGTAGTCAATTTTGGTCTTAAATATGACTGTGTAGGCGACATTGGTATAGCTTAATTATTAGGAAGTAAATCAAACGGCGTTTATAGAATAAAATTGAAGTTAATCGTATCAGAAAACGTAAATGACTTTAGGCAAGACTGTTAACTGTGAAAAGGAGATTGTGAATTAAAGGTAAAGATAAAAGTCTGGATTTCATTCAGATTTCGTAGTCTGAAAGTGATTTTAAAAATATTTATTGATGAGGATAATTTATAGCAAATAAGAACTTTCACTAATTACGACATAGTAATATATTTTGCATTGTTTCTGTAATCGTTGAACAGTATCATCAGTAACATGAGTCAAGTTATTTTTTCAACAGGATATGAAAATGAAGTATGTTTAGATACATTTATAGATATTTACGTGAACAAAAAACGAGCACAGAGTTTGTCTGAATATTAGGTTTTACACCCGGTTAAGTTGAAAATTAACGTTATAAGCACTTTGTATATCTTAGGTTCGGTATAATATGAAACAACTTTTCACTAAATAGTGAATATCACTGAATAGACAGTAAATCACTTATTGATAATAGAGCAGTTTTTGAGACTAACCTTCTTACTAACATGTCAAGAGTTCTAATTGCAAACTTTAAGAAATTCACTCAAAGCAAGTCACTAATTTGTCTTGAATAGTGATTCAATCGTTGTTGCATGGACGTCTTTTCATTTGAAGGCAGCTTTACTCAAGGTTTCAGATAAGTACTCCCGGGTTTTGAATGTATCTCTGACGCATGTCAATTTATTGTAAAATCTACTTTATAATTTAATTCACTGACCAGTTAATAGTTCTATTTATGTCATTAAATAGAAGGAATTTTATCAATCTTGTTACCACTATACTTTTTGAGTATAACTAATAATAACTTCATTAAATAAAAAGAAATATCTACGAATAAATATTTTCACTAAGTGTTTCCGACTGAGTGAATAAACATTACTACTTTGTTACAAAGAAGACTAGCCTATTTCGTTTCATTCATCAGGCAGACAGTGTGCGTTTAGCATTTTAAGGAGCAGTCGGTTATGTTATTCTGCAAAATCTGACCTCAACTGATTTATAGGAAAACGTCTGTAATTCATTCCCTCTGATAATTTTTCGTAGTGTATGAAATGAAATCAGGAAACTGACGTTTGTTTATTGCATCCTAAGACTTCGTTTCTATGTGGTTATACTACGCCTTATTTACTGGTAACATTAAAAAACTTTCATCTAAATTCTGTTTACAAAAAACTTCAAACTTTAGAAATCATCCCAAAAATATATAGCCATTTGCAGTTTTCCTTACTGCATATCTAACCTTACACAAGCTAATTAGTGCCATGATGATACTTCACTTTCATCAGCCTCAAAAGCATCTATCTCAGTTTACCTGAATCATCATTGTTTCCTCTATGATACATATGTGAAATGAATATATTTTTCAACTACAAGTAAGTATATCTAGTGAAGAACTGGCCTATCACTCGATTATAGTTTATTTAAAGTTACCGTTGATTAGTTAATAACCACATGTTGAAACTTTTAAAAAACTGAAATGAGCCCAGTATAAACTATCTTTCCAAATCGGTAACCATCACACACTGGCATCGGCTGGAGAACCACTGAATAGTTATTACATCCTGGCACCAGACGCCTCAGCAGTGCGCACCCACGACTCTACCAGAGACGGAACCGAAGAAGTTCAAGTTTCGCCGTCTGCAAACTTCCCCCAAATCACCGGATGGGGAACTAATGGCTCTTATTTTCGTATTTCTGTCACTACACGATCAAGCTGACCATCACTAAATACCGTCGTCAAGTACCTATCCACACGTTCTACTTGGTTTGCCCTGCTGATCGAAGCTTCCCATCACAGCTTCGAGAAGTCCCATCTTGAAGCAAGTCAATAATGAGCGCCACACAGTAGTTCGCTTACAAGGTTTGTGTAGATTTTATTACATTTAATTTGCTAAGGGGTCCCATAATAAGATGATAAAGCTGTCCAGTGGTTCTTTTAAATAACGTCAGTCAGTGATGAAAACCGACTTGAAATCAATAAAATCTCCATAAACTTCTAAATTAAACTGTACTTATCGGTTAGTCATTGTGCCTCAAAAAGCATTACGATTTTTGTAGACGATGTAACTATCACGTTATTAAAACCGTAGCATACAGTATTCGTATAAAAAGGGAGAAATTCATTCATTTCAATCCATACAACGAAAATGTCAGTATGAGCATTATGGAAGTAGCCCGATAGTGAAATGATAATTTAATATCATTCAAAATGGGCACATAATTTCCTTCTTGTTAGATATCCACCTCAATGAAATCAAAAGTTTGTAAACTGGTTGGGTAAATCTTTTAATGCACACAAACAACAATATGTTGTGTAGTAACAAGCTTTGCCGTACCTACAATCCACTTTTGTAAAAACGAAAAAAAGGTGAGCCTATTCAGTGACAAAATTTTGTGACAGCTTCTTAACAAATCTGCCACCTATTATCGTTGCTTGGTTGTTTATCTGTTTTCAAAATAAAAGATATATTGCTTAACTCACTCACTTTTCAGCTTCTTTAACATTAGACTCCAACTCAGCTATTCTGTGAAGCATCACGTCTTCAGTTAATTTAGTACCGTCTCTCATACTGACTAAGTTTTCCCATTCTTTTGTTGCTCGTTCACAATTTCGTTTAAACTCATCCAGCCTACTTAGTGAATTCGCATGGGATGTATGTATAACACGAACATCTTGAGGTATGCGTCGTACCTTTACAGGGATATTTATCTGGGGTCTTGAAATGCTCTCATAACCATTAGGTTGCGGCACTGAGCTTTCTGGTGTTATCTTAGCTGCAGATGAAATAACCTTGTGTGATGTTACGTCAGCACTACTGATATTGCTATTGGTAACATGATCTTCAGGTTTCTTTGACATATTTTCAACATGATGATGATACTGGTATGAACTTGATGATGATGAGTAACTGGGATATTTAACATGTTGTGAGCGAATCTTAACATAATCAGGATAATCTCCAGATGATGCAGGAAATCCAGATGAGGGGATGGTATCAAAATAGGATTTAAATGATTTCTCTTTCACTTCTTCTGTCGTGATCGATGATCTGATAATTTTCTTTACTGGTTCTGTACGGTGTATTGTTGAATCATCATTAGTTTTAGTCTTCGTATCAGTTGTTGATGTATTTTCTGATATAAGATAAACAGACAAATGCATATTAGGGAAAGAGGATAAATTTAAAGACAATATTTTCCGGGTTAGGCATACAGTTATATATTCTCAAGAAGACATGCATAAAAAAACTTCTAACTTCCTTGAAGAAACTCAATGAAAAGATATTTTACTAGAAGCAATCGCCCAATTTTCCACTAGACTACTTTAAAGCAACGAATAACCAGGTGTTTGTTCTAGGGATCAAACGAAGTTCTGTTTATTCCACACATGCTTTACGATTCAACAAGTCTTGTAGTAAAAACAATTAAAAAACCCGTGGAGAGGAAATCGTAACCCTTCGTCTTCTGTATCAGATATTTAATCCTATGGAATTATGCATCCCAAATTTTCACTTTGATAAAATAGCTAGAGACATTTTGTGTCACCACCAATGATCATTCTGTTCTACTACTAGCTTTATACTTCATCTGCTAAGTGTATAAGTAGAAGATTTTGCTTTAAGTGCTTTCGTATAAAAGTTCCTATTCCCTGGTAACTGAGTGAGTCCTTTTAAACCACTTCCCCGAATTCGACTGAACACTTAATACTTAAACTGACTAAAAGGGGTAAGTCTGAAAACCATGTTGAAATATTACAGCAGACAAGTTCAACCTGTAATAAATGCAATGAAAAGTAATAAAGTAACAATAATATAGTAAATAAAAACTCTAGACTCCTAAATAATTATTAGTTTCATTGATATGATTGACTATAAATTATAATGAGGGCATCCTAATTTATTTAATTTTATAAAACGTCAGATTAAAAGGAAGTCTTGGATTTTATTTTCGTCCTTATTGGCACTTCACATCATAGCTGACCTCATCCAGAACTGCTATATGCAAACGAAATGGTTGTCAAACGGTAAACGATATAATTTTTAAGTGATACATGCTCACACTTTCATCAAAAAACATCGATGAAGTCTACCATATGGTTACTGTAAATACTGTAGCACTCTTTATTTACATGTTAGATATCAAATTTTAGAATTTACACTTGCGTTATACTTCAACGTTGACAAACATAAAGTACATTTGCCAAAGTAAAATAAATCCGTACACCTTAGTTTTACCGAATTCTAATGAAAATAGGAAACCAATTTCATCAAATGAACACAAACACAATATTCTTCATTCTAAATTAGATTTACATAATACTTTAGTGTAAGTTTGACAAACGTCACCCGATTTCCGACGACACAAGATGATGTTTCCTCTATTAAAATGGCTTTAGACTATATTCTTTCACACTTCTTCACACCCGAGCACTTATTATAACAACATAACATAACTGTATTGATCATAATCGTGAATAAATTCTTTTCAGTTGTCTTACTATAGTTAATTCACCCCTCACCAAACCAGTTAACTTTAGACCCCAAAATATTTGTCCTTCGACTAAGAATTTCTATTTTGTACTGCTACCGATATTGATGGTATATATGTGAACTTTTATTATCGAGGATTGGAAGTAAAACTATTGAAAACACATTAGCGCTCTTTGGCGATCCCTAAAGAAGAATGAAGCACTGAACAAATTTTTTGGTACAGTGTACACCAAAAGTACGTTGCAAATAAACTACGTCAACCCTTGCAACGTTTAACTCCATTACATGAATATCAACCAGTCCTTATTCATGCTCACGGAAATCAAAAACATAATAATATGGAGATTTACAACTTCTATGAATAAAAATATTCAGTTTCTTTCGAATTATTAACATTTTCACTCGAGATCATATAAAGAAAAGTAATCACAGAAAAGCAAATAATGGTCTAATGCAAAAGGTACCTTTCGTAGGTATTTTTCATATTATTTTGTTTAATTCTCTAACCATTAAATGTTTCCATTAAAAGCTATTAAAATTACTTACAAACTCGTTTGAAACTTATGCGTAGCGTAAAACACACTTTTGAATAATAGATATTGGTGGGAATTTTATGTAATTTGTTCAGGTACTAAACATGGTACCCCATGGACTGACTTATCGTTGCTTGCCTAATCGTTTTATTCCCAGCAAAACTCGTTAGTTTCTATACTTAAACGATCTAACACCTGACCGAAAAAACCACAGTATTGACAAAACTAATCAAGTAACTGATTAATCTAAAGTCTAATGGAAGTATTAGAGGAGAAGAGCAACAGATGAGATGTTTAAGCAGGATTTTCAACTAATATGTGTTGGTTACATATGGTTCCTCACGTCTTTTGCTCATTCTAAACGCTGTTTCAGCTGAGGGCTTTTACGCAAATTTCGCTTGATGAAAAGCAAACTTCAGTGTATAATGGATTTATTCCATGAAATAAGAACAGCAGTTATTGCAGAATAATGTAAACTGGATGCTTTTCACTGTACCAAATTTTAATCTTTTAGCAACATTATCGCAGGGGAGGAAGACAGAAGTCAGAGTAACCACAAGAATAACTAATTTGCTTAGATAACGCATGCGTCATATCTTCAAATAAAATTTCTAAATAATGAGTTAGCAAGCAAAATTAAAACGCTACTGTCAATGTTGTACTGCAGTACACGAAATTAGATTTGAAATTAGACTTCTCAGATGAGAATGTGAGACTATAAAAGTAAAAAATTAAAGAGTTCTCTGTATTAACACAATTGTTCTTATTTGAGGTCGGAAACGTTTCCGCACTACTGCCATATTTGACTGCAGTCACTGATGGTAGAGTAAAAATATCTAAATAGCAAACTGTTTGCGTGAATTGTTTATGTAAACGTGATCTAAGTAAAGTATGTGGTACTGAGAGAAATGACATATAAAACACTGCTGCTAATCATTAATTTTTGCTAACCCGATAGAATACTTATAAGCATGAAGAATGGCTGTTAAACTAGTTTCTACACTCAAAATGTACTTTGAGTCTCATATCCTATTTCACAGAAGACCAGGCCAATAATTCATAGAATACAGGTTTTTATCATGCAGCGAATCAGGTTTTAGTATCAATCTTAATAGTCACTTTGAATCATAAATACAAATCAGTCAAAACACCGGCATCTCAGAAGGTTTTATCGGGATTCTTGATCAGAAAAATCTTTTGTTAGAAAGATTTCAGAAATTATCAAACACAAAAAAATAACAACTAATTAACCTGAGTATATTTGTTGCATTGAAAACTACTCAAAACTGTTTGAAGTTAACTTTTTTAGTTACCAAATTATTTTAAATTAATCCAGCTAAGTAGCAACTATAAGATTGTGTTATGCATTTATAGTGTGGTTAAACAGCCTCATGAATTACAAATAAAAACTCATCCCACTGAAAAGAATCGTTTCCTAAGCTTTTCTGTCCTGTTTATCATGAATATTTCTGTAATGAGTGTTTATACACAATGATATTCTTTAATTCTGGTAATATTTCCAGCAAAACTAGTGCCGTGATCACATCTTGTGTTACCACTATTTGTTCATACATTCAGGGATAGAATTCATATTTGTGATGTTGTCATTCTGTAGATTTGCCGGTTTGTTCTAGCATTATGTCCAATGGTGTTGACATTTGTGCTGAGTAATTGTTTATACATGTGATAGGTGTGACTTGCAAAATTAGGATTCAGTTATCAGTCTTTCTCTTCATTTGTTCATGTTACACTTAAAGACTTCATTATTGTCGAGTGACTATAAAGGGCAAATTATGAACTACTGAAATAACCAATCACCTTTTAGTATTTCGAAAAATTTCAGTAAAATAAAGAAATCCGATTGGGTCAATCTCAGCAGTTGTTAGCGTGACATGTGAAGGTAGATTATCCAAATCAACATAATGTTTTTCACCCCACACAAAATTATACAATAATTCAAAATTTTTGGTGGAATACTTGGCATTCGTTTTAAGACTAGAAGCAGTACTCTGGTCAATAAATAGCCCATGTACACTATGTATCTCGGCCATCCACAGCTGAGACAAACAAAAGAGAAGATACACAGGCTGATGAATTCATTGCGTAACAGAAAGATGAGCGAAATACAGTGGAAACTAAAGGTATTCGTAGCACTTTATTAAACCTGACTTATAGGTACACAAAAGTAGTTGAATAAATACAGTTAAAGGTAAATTAGTTTTCTCGCATATAAAAGGTACTACTACTCAACCTGCAACAAACTTTCTAAGAAATGGTATTTCCGCAAAAGTCAGCAAAACAAACACGAAGACAACTTGAAATTTAAAGTGATTTAACAGGATGAAGAAACAAGATTAGGCAAAATCACGGATATACTTTGCTGTATAATATAGCAATAAGAACAAACAAAAAAAGAAGCGGTCAAATAATAAGGGTCTTAAGTGTGTAACAAATTCACTAGTTAACTTGAGTTGGCCTTTCTTATGCACCTACAGAAAAGCCTTCCCATTTCTACTTGCACAAATAGAGTTTACAACTCACAAGAAATCTGCGATAATTTGTGTTCCGTGGAGAAAAGAATAAAGTGTTTAAAATAATGTTTTGTTGATTCACTGACCCAAGTTCCAGTAACTGCAAGTGGTCTAGTTCTGTGATAATCCATTTAATAACTCACGCTAAGAGTATCGTTTAAAAATCATTGCATACTACTCTCTAATATCACTTTGACAGTGACTGCTGCGAAGCGCACTAGCGCAGTGCGAATCACTTCTACCTTCATAAGTTCACTGAACGATCTTAATACCACAAATCCCTATATCTTGTGGCTTTTATGTAAAGGAGAATAGAACTTAAAGAAATCATACTGTGGTGAATGCAACTTTTAAACATGAAATGGGCACTGTATATAGCAGTGAAAAAACGCACCAGATGATAATGACTGGCTGATAAAGATTCCAGAGGGAAAAAGCCACAATACTGAATGCATATATAAAAATGAGGACATTACTTACTAGAATGCCGAAAGAAAGAATGACTACTATTCAGTAGGAGGCAATTGGCAGGAAACCCTGGAGCTAAACAAATAATGTGACTTTACCTTCAGCCTTAATAT